TCAGCAGCATATCTCTCAGTCTTTTCCTTTCGTTTTGTTAATCTGTTAATTAGGCTATTTAAGTCAAATATTTCGCATATTCATTCATTTTACATATAGAATATGATTTAATAAAAACAGATTTTGTTATTTTTAGATAAACTTCATTTCTGTTGCTTGTCTGCGCTCGTCTGCCGCCGTTTTTCTCTTCTCCGACCCCGCAGCTCTCTCCGATAGCTTTAGTGTTAGTGGCACCAGTCCAGGTGTTTCCAGGTTTTACTCGTGCTATTTCTCCATGTTGAGAGGTGTCGCACAGCTTAGTGTTAGTGGCACCAGTCCAGGTGTTTCCAGGTTTTACTCGTGCTATTTCTCCATGTTGAGAGTTTGGTGTCGCACATATTGCTAAGCATTCTTATCCTTTTCTCCGATAAACTGAAAATAACAGGAGTGTGTCCATCTCACAAATCAAGAATCCGTCTCTGCAGTCATCTCAACCAACTAATACCAGCAACAGAGAGTTAAAATATGTTGTTGTAACTTGCGTTACTGGGATTGTAACGAGTAATAATATCACCCAAATTTTATTAGTAATGCGTTATATTATATTATATTATATTACTTTATATTAGGTTATATTACGTTACAGCAAAAAGTAATATACTACTGTAATATTATTACTTTTGTAATGCGTTACTCCCAACACTGCACATGAATTAGGCTATATTCTCTCTCGCTCTCTCTCTCTCTCTCTCTCTCTCTCTCTTTCGGAGTTGTTAACTTTAGCTCTTCCTGCATAAACAAACTCATACTGTATGAAATTATTTACGAGCCACAGGCTACGTGCTCTTCATTTCAAAAACAATTTTATGAAAAATAATCCTCATGGGAGAATGATTAATATATTGTTTGTTTTTTGTAAGCCGAAATGAACAAGTTTTTTTTATTGTAGTCTATCGAGCACGTGCTTTCTATAAATGTTTAGAAGTTGTTATTAAACGGAGCAAAATTTAGTGCCAAAATTTTGTTTTTTTTTATGCCCGAAACTATTTTGAATAGGCCTATGTAGATAATTTGAGAACAACACTCCAGTCAACTTACCACTTTCTTTGGGGGGTATTCCAAAAAGTAGGTTATGTGACATACCCGGGTATGTTTGAGGATAAGCGAGCGGATAACTTCAGCTTTCGGTTCCAAAATCGGAGGTTACTTTCAGGGTATGTAAGTAACCATAGTAACTTGCTCTCTGAAGATAACCTGCTCCGGAGCAGGTTATGTTCCAGGGTTAGTTCACTTCAGCGCACGTGTGATCTACTGACGAGCCTTCAGTGGGCTATATATATCAGTAAAATAACCAAAAGATAGTTGTGAGACCACCACGGACAAAAAGACGCTCTCCCTGGACAATAGGCTAATTAGCCTATAGACTTCCACCAGCTTTCCCGGTTCCAGTCTTCCTTCCTCCAGTTTCTATCTGAAGGGTGTGGGATCGTTTTGTGTTTACTTTTGTTGAACGAAAAAAGCAACCTATGACCCGCCAAAGTTTGGTTGACTCTCTACCTGCGCTTCCTCAAAAAAATGAGTTTCGGTTCATTTTTGTGAAGCGCTCCTGTTCAACACCAAGACTTCAGTAAGCGCATCCTGTTTGTTGTCCTTATTTTACAAAAGCACAACGTTTTGTTGATATTGTGAGTGCACATAAATAGAACCGTTCCGGATGTTATATTACTCTCTCTTACCTTTATGAGCAAAATTGACGGCGTATTTTAAGTTGTTTGCAAGTGATCGCGCTACCGCTTCCATGTGCTGCAAAGCGCGCTTTATCTTCCGCTCTCCGCACAAACAATTGGATATAGCCTACGCCTAATAGCGCACATGTATCTAGGTTAAACATTTAAACTAACATTGTGATATGCTTGAAGATTTTATTTTAGGGAAGTCGTGATGATTTGAGAAGGCAAAATTGATCAAACATAAGATCACTGTACCGCTGGCCGCTTGAAAAAAACAAAAAAAACAAAACATGAATCCAACAAGCAAAAAAATGTTCCAAACATATTTCTAAATTAACTTTAGAACTCTATAAAGAACTCTATAAAAAATATAACCACTTTGCTATTAAAAACAAAACTGAGCTATTTTAATGGCTGCATCAGCAGCTGTGTAGGGAAGAGAGAGAGAGAGAGAAAAGACACGGGTTCCAGTCAGACTCAGGCCAGTAATTCTGAGAAGCTGTCGGACAAAGGCCGAGCTAGGTTGTTACGATTTTTTGCAACGAATGTTTGTTTAATATTTAATATTCTTATTTAGGCTACTTTCTTATTTAACTATATTATTTATTTGATATTTAGCCTATTTTAGAGTTATGTAGGCTGCATGTTCCCTGACGGAAATAAAAACGCACGTTTGTTAATAGATGTTTGAGCCTCATTTCAAATCTGGATGGACCATTTAAAAAAAAGGATATCTGTAATTTCAAATATACACATTACTTAAATGGCTATGCTTTTATCTTTGAAGGAGGGTCTTTTATAGACATTCAACAAACTGTATTAAAGTGTATACGTTTTGACAGTTAAAATTTTTAATCTTAGCCATGCTAAAACAGACTCTATTGCTCTCTCTTTGCAGGCATGTATGATTTTTAACTTCAACCTAGAGAAGATGGACAGTTATAGGCCCAATCATAATTTTATGTACACACTGTAAAATTTACGGTAGAAAACCGGCAGCTGTGGTTGCCGGAATTTTACCGTAAAAAATACGGTAGCAACGTTTTAGGTTTTACGGTTGTAACTTAAATTTACAGTTAAATACCGTAATTTCATTAACTGATAAAATGTTATTATATACCAACCTGTTGAAGTACTAAAATCTGTTTTGTACCTTTGTAATACACTGATAACCACCAAACGCAGGTGGTGATGAGAAAGTCACATGATAAACCAAAGCCCATCACAAGCAGCTTATAAATAATAACATATATAGAAGGTGCACAGTGTCATTCACACAAACACCAAACACCATCATGGTAACACACATGAAACTGAAATAATGCAATAAACATTAACTGAACAACATTAGGTGTAACGCACAACGCTAATATACAAAACTGATAAGAAAAAACAAAAAAGAAACATAGTTATTTCAACAAAAAAACATCAAATTTGAAATGTAACGCAGGGAATTCTGGGAATGTCAATTTACGGTTATTCACTGTAAATTATACGGTATTTTCCACTTCCAAAAACGGTATACTACCGTAAAATTAATGTCCAATACATGTAATGTCCAATACAGTTTTTCACCGTATATAGTAGGGGAATTTACCGTTAACCATTTAACAGGTTTCTACTGTAGCATTTTTACAGTCTTTTACCATTAAATTCACCAAGGATGCATTAAATTGATAAAAAGTGGCATTTATAATTTAATTTGTAAAATTATAAATGCTGTTAATTTGAATTTATTTATTTATGTATTGAATTAATTTGTTGAACACAAAAGAAGATATTTTGAAGATTGCTGGTAATCAAACAGTTGGTGGTTGCCATTGACTTCCATAGGAAAAGAAATACTATGGAAGTCAATGGCAACCACCAACTGTTTGATTACCAGCAATCTTCAAAATATCTTCTTTCATGTTCAACATAAGAAAGCAACTCATACAGGTTTGGAACGACATGAGGGTGAGTAAATGATGACAGAATTTTCATTTTTGGGTGAACTATCCCTTTAACTACTATGCACTAACATCAAAAAATAAGTACATTGTACTTATTGTGGTCATATTGTATTGCAAAACACTTTTGCTGCTATTGAGGTGGGATACGGGTAAGGTTAGGGACAGGTTTGGTGGTATGGGTAGGTTTAAGGCTGGGTTAAGGTGTAAGGAATGGGTCAACAGTGTAATTATAAATGTAATTACAGAAATTAATAACAGATGTAACTACATATAGGTATTTTAAAAAATATAAGTACAATGTAAAAACATGTATGTACAGGATAAGTGCATTGTATCAAATTATTAATTTAAATGTAAGTACATAGTAGTTAAGGCCACTTAATATAAAATGGGACCAAAACTTTTTTGTCTAACTGGTTCCATAAAGAACCATTTCACAAAATGTTCTTTGTGGCGAAAGAAGGTTCTTCAGATTATAAAAAGGTAAGAAAGAGATGGTTCCTTAAAGAACCTTTGACTGAATGGTTCTTTGTGGAACCAAAATTGTAGCATTGCTGTGAAGAACCTTTTAAGCACCTTTATTTTTAAGAGCGTATATCTGTGCAATGGAATCTTCTCACCCAAAACAAATCCCCTGTGTGTTCAAAAATACTTGGCAATAAATCTCTTTCGCATTCTGCTAAATAGTACTTTTTCTGATACCCTTCACACAAAAGGAGGAAGATCAAATATTGGTTCAAATAAATATGATTTTAAACAGGATGGAACAATGGTTCTATAAGAGGACTGCACTTTGCAGGGATTCATATATCCACAGGGCCCTATAGTAACAGGAGTGCCAGGGAGCCCTCCTACTAGATGAAGATCCTTGTCTAAGAGGCCTTAGGTTATATAGGACCCATATATTAAACATAAACAAACATTTGTTTTCATTGTTGTTGGCTTTTCTGTACCAAACTGGATGGCGCACCCTTGAGGCCCAGGGCCTTCTTAATTTATTCACTAATAATTTTCATCTATTAGCAAACTCTCATTAATGCTCATTAATTAAGAGCATTCATTTTCAGTTGAAAATAACGACTGAGCCACTTTTTTTTTTTTTAACAACTTCAGTGCACCATCATTATTAAATCCTACAGCAGATACCAACCAGCATATTCTTTGAAGTTTCCTTTTTGTGTTACACAGGGGAAAAGTCAGATGTTTGGAACATCATGAAGGTGAGTAAATGAAGGATTATTCATTTTTGAGTGAACTAAATCAAATTGATTTTCCAACAAACACAAACCTACACAATTTATTATAAAATATCTGCAAGAAATCGAATCAGTACAAATGCTGACTTATCACAGATCTTTTATTTGTCAAAAAAAGAAAAAAAAAGAAAAGAAAATATTAAAAAAAAAAAAAAAAAAAAAAAATAAAAAAAAAAAAAAAAAAAAGAGAGAGACTGAAGGATAGAGGAAGAGTCTGGTATATCTGCTGCAGGTCAGTCACATTACATTATACAGAGATGATCGCATCAGCCAAGCTTTTTACAGCGGTAGTTTGACATCTTTTCCCACAAATTCTTAAGAGATTAAACTTCCTTAGAATGCATCTAGATTTGCATGTTTGGTGTTGGGGCATCAGTAACAGTTCAGCAAAAAAAATTAGTTAAATGTGGATAGACCATAGCACCCAAGCATTTTTAAAAGTGAAAAATAGAGAATCAAAAGTAGGAGGAAATTTCAAGTGAAACGAAGGGAGCTGGTTCTACAGCAACCAGCTGCTGAGGGGTGGCTAGTACCATCTATAATGTTCCTCAAGACACATCTGAAAATAAAGAGACAATAATCAGAATTTGGACAAACAAGAAAAATGAATATGAAAAAAATATATATGAATATATGACAAAATGTTAATGGATTGCTAATAGAGGAATTTAATTTACTTACAGCTTGCAGGCCTGGCGCCATATCTTCGCATAATCTGATCCTGTGTGAATTTCACAAAGGACTCATATTGTTCTTGAGGTAAAAAGAAAGAAAAACAGCACATTAAAAACACAATTCAGTCAATTCAGCTAATACATTACTGTGTGGAATCTGCAATGTGTTGTACCTGCAAGCTTTGTGTTTAGTATCTGTTCATACTCTTCGCGCATCTTCTCCTCGTGATCTTTAATAAGGCGCTCACACAAATAGCCAACCTGCCTCAGCGTGAACAGTGGCTGATCCTTCTTCAATGATGAGGCACCTAAAAACATACACACGAATCTGAATATCCATCCTTGACCATGTCACTTTATTTTCAAAATTACAAAATACCTACACTACAGTTCAAACGATTTTTTATGTTTTTTAAAGAACTCTTATGCTCACCAAGGCTATATTACAATTGAAAATAACTCCTTTTTTTAAATATTTTTTATAAACGTAATTTATTCCTGTGATGGCAAAGCTGAATGTATAGAAATCACTCTTATATCCTGATTTGGTGCTCAAGTAACATTTCTTCCGATCAACAGTTTTTCTATGCAATATTTTAGTGGAAACCATGATAATTGTTGTTAAATCTTTTGTAACATTATAAATGATAAAAAGTGACAGCAAAGACAAATTTGATGCATCCTTGCTGAATCAAGGTATTAATGTTCTTTAAAAAAAAAAAAACTCAGTTATCATGGGATGTTTCTCACCCTCATGACAAATCACAATACTTGCTACTGATAAACCACCTTTTTAATGGTGAAACTGTTCGCATGTGATCAGTTTGTGCTTTTTTGCCACAATTTCTCTCTTGCATTCTTAAGAGATTAAACTTCCTTAGAATGCATCTAGATTTGCATGTTTGGTGTTGGGGCATCAGTAACAGTTCAGCAAAAAAAATTAGTTAAATGTGGATAGACCATAGCACCCAAGCATTTTTAAAAGTGAAAAATAGAGAATCAAAAGTAGGAGGAAATTTCAAGTGAAACGAAGGGAGCTGGTTCTACAGCAACCAGCTGCTGAGGGGTGGCTAGTACCATCTATAATGTTCCTCAAGACACATCTGAAAATAAAGAGACAATAATCAGAATTTGGACAAACAAGAAAAATGAATATGAAAAAAATATATATGAATATATGACAAAATGTTAATGGATTGCTAATAGAGGAATTTAATTTACTTACAGCTTGCAGGCCTGGCGCCATATCTTCGCATAATCTGATCCTGTGTGAATTTCACAAAGGACTCATATTGTTCTTGAGGTAAAAAGAAAGAAAAACAGCACATTAAAAACACAATTCAGTCAATTCAGCTAATACATTACTGTGTGGAATCTGCAATGTGTTGTACCTGCAAGCTTTGTGTTTAGTATCTGTTCATACTCTTCGCGCATCTTCTCCTCGTGATCTTTAATAAGGCGCTCACACAAATAGCCAACCTGCCTCAGCGTGAACAGTGGCTGATCCTTCTTCAATGATGAGGCACCTAAAAACATACACACGAATCTGAATATCCATCCTTGACCATGTCACTTTATTTTCAAAATTACAAAATACCTACACTACAGTTCAAACGATTTTTTATGTTTTTTAAAGAACTCTTATGCTCACCAAGGCTATATTACAATTGAAAATAACTCCTTTTTTTAAATATTTTTTATAAACGTAATTTATTCCTGTGATGGCAAAGCTGAATGTATAGAAATCACTCTTATATCCTGATTTGGTGCTCAAGTAACATTTCTTCCGATCAACAGTTTTTCTATGCAATATTTTAGTGGAAACCATGATAATTGTTGTTAAATCTTTTGTAACATTATAAATGATAAAAAGTGACAGCAAAGACAAATTTGATGCATCCTTGCTGAATCAAGGTATTAATGTTCTTTAAAAAAAACAACAACTCCGTTATCATGGGATGTTTCTCACCCTCATGACAAATCACAATACTTGCTACTGATAAACCACCTTTTTAATGGTGAAACTGTTCGCATGTGATCAGTTTGTGCTTTTTTGCCACAACTCATATCTCTCTTGCATTTCTGTGTATTCAAACTCGATAGTGTCACAAACATGAAAATCATCACCATTCGACTTTACTGACAACAAATTTGGCACACTGTACATTATACCTTCCTGTAAAGTGCAGCTACAACCCTAATCAAAAGCATCTGATCCAGCTAATTAAAACATTCAGGAACATTTAGTAACTACAGCTGGTGTGTTGGAACAGGGTTGGAACTGAATTGCAGAAGATTTCCAGGAACAAAACTAGCCACCCGTGGTCTAAAGAAAATGATTGATAAATGGTTTGAGCACCCCAACAACCCCACCCCAAAGAAGCACGTTTTGCCTGTCTCAACACATCTAATTCAGGTCATCGGCTCCTTTGTTTCATGAGTGTTCCAGACAAAGGAGACATTCAAAATGTGTAGTGTTGGGGCAGGAGGGCTTCAGGAACAAGTCTGAAACCACTGGACATTATGTTTTGAGTGGACTGACTTGTGGGAGAGCTGGGGGAGGTGAGGGCTGGACTGGAGCTCTGGATATCAGTGGAGCTGCAGGGCTCAGTCTGGTTAAAGGCCCCTTCCAACTGCCGTCGCCTCTGATAACGGTTGTACTCCTGACGAATGTTCTGGAAGATCTGCTCTGTGAGGGTCAAAGAAAGACAATCGAGAGTTAATAACAATGATAATTGAGCTTAAATTAAAGAGAGAGAAAAAAACCAGTGATTTCCCCCAAGTATTTCTGGAATACCATCATTTCCAATGAATAAACTTCCTTATGTTCAATCATCTTCAAAAACAAAGTAGTGAAGAACAAAAGTAATCACTGGCATTACTTCAAGCACACAGAATGCACAGAGGATATCCTGCTTTCAGCACAGATCCCATGATGAAAAGAAAGAGGGAAGAAATAAGTTTCACCTCAGTTTTACAATCAGCCACAATGGTACATAGACAACGTCACTAGCAAACACATACAAGAGAGAAAAATGAGATGGCTTTAAGGTGGGTCAGGCTTATTTCTGGAAACCAAATCTGGGTGACAGGACTGCAATGCGGAGGCGAGCAATGCAACCGGGAACATCCGGAGTCTCTCTAGAAAAACTGGGTTGAGTTTAGTCTTAACCTTCAACCTGTGGACGACTCAATTAGAATTAGAAACCAGCATGACTTTCATGAGCTATACTCTATAAAGATCCTGGTAGAGTAGACTACAATGCCGGCTGTTCTGACTCACAGACTGCAAGTAAGTTTTTTTTATATTAAAGAATTTGCCACTGATGATTCAAACGCAAGTTTTGAGCAGTGTAGAGTAGCGCTTGTTGTTTGTCATTTGCAGACATGGTTTTATGTTTACGCAGCACGCTGCAACGCGTAAAAAGACATTATAATCCGTAATTATGTCCCCCCTGGATGCAACAAATGCCTCGTTTATAATGGGTTTTAATGTTTTTGTCTCGTCGCTCCGGCCGGGACACAGGGCATCACAGTATGGTAAGGGGCGTAACATTTCCATCACACGCTTGAGGTATTCGGCCAATCACAACGCATCTTGTCAGTAAAGCCGGTTCTGTAATCAGCAGTAAATCTCAATCACGTGCTTTCAAATGGAGCAGCATTTACTACACAGAGCCGTAGTTCACTGACAAGCTACGCAAAATCGCATTCATAATCGCAGACGATATAAATCGCGCAATTATGAAATCGGTCTGCGATTATAAAAGCTGTTTGCGTAGCTTGTCAGTGAACTATGTCTCTGTGTAGCAAATGCTGTTCCATCTGAAAGCACGTGAAAATACCACATTTACTAACATGTTTTTACTCCAAACTCACTTAATAACGTCAGACGAATGTTTGAAATAAATCCTTCTGTGAGATGATGTGGCTTCTTACACAATAAGACACGCAACATATTTCATAGTATTCCAAGCAGTGATAAAGGTTATGCAGTGATATAATGTCGATTAGCATTGCATTATTATATACTTCATTATAATAAAAAATATAATAAGATGAACTCAGATAAACAATATATATTGTCGTAGTCGTGTGTTTAGTCACGTTGAATCAATGAAAGCAGTTAAATCTTCTGTTTATTCAGCAACCGCTATAGGAATTTCTTGACTTCTTCTGCGGGGCGTATTTGGAGTTTCAGTGCGAAAGCGCCCTCTGACTTTGGATGGAGATTTACTACTGATCACAGAACCGTGCTTCACTGAAAGATACGCATGAAAATCGCCGCTTCTGCCTAATCGCTATTTATCGCCTTCGCGATTTCATTTTGATTAATCGTGCAGCCCTACTTAAATCTGTGTTCAACTTCACACTATAGTAAATGAGAGCCAGGCGTGCATATGCATCAAACAGTGCAATAGATTAGGCGTGTATTAATTCCGACTCAAATATACTTTTCTTAAAATAACTAGTAAATAATGGATTTTTTTTATTTGATTTTGAAATTGAAACTAATTAAATTGAAATTAATAATCAGATTAATCAATTATCAAAAAAAAAAAAAAAATCCTTAGATTTTCTTTGGACTGCAGTAGGGTTGCCATGCCATGAGAATGAGAAAAAGATAAATTTCACTTTAGTGAAAACTAATTTTTCTGATTATGCAAAAATCCATTTTAGATACTACAGCTACAGAAATATGCAAGAAATTGTCAGTGACAGTTACCGGGCAACACCAGCCCCCTTGAATGACAGGTGAGGCCCTCCGCATATATTAAATGCTGCCAAATGCTGAGACTAGGTCCAACAGGTTACTTAGCAACTGTAACCTTATATGGTCAAACCAAGCAATAAATCACAGTGGCTTCCTGAGAGAGGATGGGGAGCGATTCAAGGCCCAAAAGCACAGAACAGGGATAAAACAACCACAATGGAGGTGTGGGATGAACTGGACTGGGGGGGAGGGGAGCGTAAGTGGGTGTAGAGTTGAGGCGTCTTATTCACTACACTGCCGAGGCTTTGCAGAGGGAATTTAAAAACCCCAAACTGGCCAAAAGGGTCTGGCTGCAGCCTGGCGCTTGCACTCTCAGACACTTGCACTTCCGCTAGCGACGTCACTTGCAGTCTTTTTTATTTTGTTCTATTTATTGATTACTTTTTGTTTGAACCTCTCAACATTTTACAACAGTAGCCAGGTGGACAAGAAAAAAGAAACTAAATTACGAAGTCACTTGCAATCGCCACTTGCACTCTCCGATACCTGCGACGTCACTTGCAATCGACACAAATGGTGCGTGTTGCCAGAGACAAGACGCTGTGGTGGTGATTAAACGATTAA